CAAAGTATATGGTCACTCACCCACTCAATCAAACCTGATAAAATGGTTTTAGATTCTTGTAGATCCTTATATATGAGCCAGAAGCTACTCCAATGGCTGGGAGTGTGATCTAAATTGAGTATCCATAGTGCAAACTCTTGAACGATGATTGAGTCAAACGGTACCTTTTCGTTGTAAAAAGAAATGACTGCTGTCGGCATGTCTGCGATGGCACTCTCTCCTACCACCGTTACTCCCTTAAACACCTTCAAGCGCATGTTGAACCTAAAAAGCTCAGTTACTACTCAGAAATCACATATGATTTCCTTCAGAAAATCGTCTGTTATGATGTAATAATGCTAATTTTCTTTCAACTTTCAATAGTAAAACTATTGTTTGAGTCTTAACGAAGAACATGTTCCTTTAAAACATTTCAATTTACTGTCACATTTTTCGAAAGATGGCAAGAAAAAGAGTTAAAAACCGGCATTGTTTTGTTTTATCTCAAAGGAGTAACCTTTGAACCTCAGCTTTGAAATAATTATTATTGTTTCAGAATTTTCTCCCTGCTTGAAGATTTCATCATTCCTTGCAACCTCCACTACTGACTTGTAGAATTCAAGCAGATTGACAAGTAGTTCACTGATGTTGCTACTTCACCTTCTGTTGTATACTCAGCTCTTGTATTCAACAGACTTGCTAGCGAATACTCTCAGAAGTCTCACATTTCCAAGCTCTGCGAGATTCTGTTCGCATGTCTAGTATTATTTCATGATTGGTTGTAAACTAGTTTTTGTAATTGAGCGAGTTATTAGCAAAGTGACCTTCAAATCTACGCTTTAAACTTACTTGGAGCTGCCAACATGAGCTACGACTAGTTTTGTGTCGCCATCGCCATACATGTCCGACAGACATACACAATTGGAAAATGTGAATACACCGGCTTGATCGTCGGAAAGCGCTGACATCCATTTCGCAGCTTCTGATGAGCCCATATCTCTGAACTAGCCAAAGCCTAGGCCTTCGAAATTCTGCAAAAGAAGAAGAAGGTGAACTATAAATAATGTTGAATAGACAAGCTAGTTAGAGACTTGAACCGCGAAGATACACATCAATTGTGGTTTCTGAAAACTCAATGGGAATAAACCTCTTTGTTTAATTATTGCAGTTCAAATTAGAATGTTTGATTCGTTCTGCTTGATGGTGGAGTTTCTTGGAGATAATAATTATAAAAAAATGTTACGCAAA